AATCCCCCAACCCCCCAAAATCAATTCATTTGTAAATTGTGTATATTCGCTGCTTTTATCCTTCATGAAAATGAAATAAGAACATCTGAAGTACTTTATCCATAACATTGTATGAGGTTTCACATTTATAATAAACGTCAATTAAAGAAATTTTTATTTTTCAGGTTTTCACAAAAAGTGTGTGGGAATGGTGACGTACATCTACTTCATGCGGGATTTTGAACAAATTATTTCTTCCCTCTATAAGTCTGTAGTCTGTCAGTAAAAACTACGATTTACAAGTACACTATACATGTATGTATTTTCTGTTGTAAATGGTTACTATATATAAAAGCAATTTCCCGCGCTTAAATTGCGCGGGTGTTTATCTAGTAGGGTACAAATGTACCAATTTTAATGTCTATCCACAAGAACAAAAATAAAATATTGAATTTAGATGATGCCAGTGTCTAGGGGAGATTAATCTTGCAATATCATAGTGAATACCTAATAAGTAAGATAATTTATATATATCAAAGAAGTAATAGAAACATTTTGATATATTTTAATTTGATCTTTTCTATTACATAAATCATTCTCATGGCAAGAAATTAAGTTCAGTTAAGCTTTGAAGTCAGATTTTTAGCAATCGATTCTTATCTCTGAAATTCCCTGTTTATAGATATCACCGTGGTGAAACGGTGACAAATTCTGAACACATCAACAGAAAACAGGAAATAAATCTTTTACCATACATTTCTTCCGATCATGTCATACATGACATTTATTTCCTTAAGAAAATGATATTTATTTCCTTCAGAAAATTATTTGCAGCTTTTTTCAAACGATAATTTTTTTGGTGGGTGTTTATTTTGTCGTTGTCTCGATTTGAAATGGATGAACCAACAAAATCATTAGTGGTGATTTCTATTGCCTCTCATACCCATTTCACACATACATTGTATTCGCGTTTACTAGGGGGGTAATTTTCCAAAAAAGCATGGTAACTTTTTTCTTGTTTTAGTATATACATTTTTTAAACCGGGGGGGGGTATAGCAGAGAGATGCACCTTAGATCCGCGCATGACGGGCTTCATTATTCCATGTTTCCCACTATTGTTGATGTCCCTGGAAATATCTAACTAAAATGATTCCTTATATTTCCATTTCATCGTGAAATAAAATTGTAGATTTAGACTTTAAAAATACAGATATAGATTTAAATTACACTTTTCATCCCAATTTCAATTGTCCTCGCCCACTGACGTCAAACACAACGGCAATAACAATTTTTGCATATTTGGCCTCCTTAGCGTCAGACTCAGAGACAGGGGCCAGTTTTACAAAAGGACTTAAGACCAAATTTAATTCTTCATATAACTTTTTAATTAACATTATTTCGAAAATTATTTTAAACATTTTAAAAAGAAAGTAGTAAGAAATATTTACACACCCAATTTCAAAGAGGACAATTAAATTTGCAAAAAATTACAACAATCTGAAGTTTTTGATCTTAGTCGTAAGTTCTTTTCCCACCGTTTTCATTTTTGGGGAGAGAGAGAGAGAGAGAAATTTGAGAGAGAGAGAGAGAGAGAGAGAGAGAGAGAGAGAGAGAGAGAGAGAGAGAGAGAGAGAGAGAGAGAGAGAGAGAGAGAGAAAAAATTCAAAAATTAGAAATGGAAATATATTGGGAAAACTCAATATTCGGAGGAACTCAGTGGCATTATGATCCCTGCTTAAAATCACGGGCACTGTAAGTTAATGTAAATATTGAGTATGTGTATTTATATGAAAAAGGACATGCTTACTCAATCTAAATCTTTACATTACTTAGTTTAATTTTGTTCAATAAATATTAAGTGGCATTTTAAAATATCAGTAAATGGTTTAATATAGTACATTTAGTAGTTATTTATTCGATATTGATAGAGCTTGATACAGTATTTTTAATTCATTCGAACAAATAAAGAAACTTTAGAAATATCAGAGATTGGAGAGAAAAGACATCATTGGACCGAATACCTTATGGAACGATTTGACGAGATACATAGACAGATTGACTGCGCATGTTTTTATGAGTAAGACACTTCCGTATTAAAACAATACTGTGGTTGTTTATTTTTATTTGTGACAGTGGTTCAGGACAGAATGATCAAGATAAGATAAAGGTAACTGTCCATACGAGTTTATGTATATCGCTTTATTTTTATAGCTGTAAATAATGCATAACAACGAAGATAAATAAGAAACAAGCATCGACAGGTGCAGTATCGGTTTGACTGTAGATGCATTTCAAGACAAAATTTATGTGTATTGAAATATTTGGTGAAATGTAAATATCTAAAATACATATTGCTGTTTTGAAGGAATGCAAAGTGAGACATGACAAGTGTTTTAAAGATTTTTCTGAAGGAGTATATTATATAGGCCTACCTTTTTTTGACAAATATGATTTGGGGATATGTTAAATTGATGGTGTTGGTGATATTGTTTTTCTGTGTATTTGCCCTTAGGTAAAAGCCTTTAGAAAATTTTGGGCCCATGATCCATGTCATAGTCAAAGCAGACTGGAGAGTATGCTTTAATTCAATGTCTTTGAGTCTCGTATCACACTTGTAAATATTTTCATCTTTTTGTTCTGTATATATTTTACTGTATATCAACTGATGAAAGCCCTAGTCTGATGGAATCATGGATGCTTCTCAGTAAAAGAAGCAAGTCCCTAGAATATCAAATCAAATCGCTCAGGAGGCCACAACAAGACCTCAGATACTGTGTCTGAGGATTTTGATTCCCCATGTCATGTGGTGAAGACGTAGGTTTTTGTCATACCTTTACTCTTGGGGCAAGGCTTAGAGTTGATTTTGTACATGGGAAGATGTAAAAAAATTTTCTTCTAAACTTCTTGTGTGTCTTACTCTCTTACTCAAATTTTAATCTCAAGAAGGTACAGTATATGGTAGTCTGAAAAATCTGAGGTTTTCCTGGCTTTTTTACGATTTTGATATTTTACATGCCAGGAAAACGTCAGAACTGGCACCATTACGAAAACTGGAAAATTCGCCATTTCCAAACTGAGTTCATTTTTTATACTTGCTTACTGAACTAATTGCTGAAATCAGAAAATATCAATTATAGCACAATGCCTCTAGTATTCGCCAATATCGATGAAAAGAAAATATCACTCCACATTTCGTTCCAGTACTTGCAAGATTGTAAAATGCACGAAATGAAGACAAATCTCAACACTCTGATAAAATGTTTTAAACGGATTGTATTTTGTATAACTGAATTATAAAAAACGATATCGGTAAGTACTAAAAGTATTGTACTATTGATAACATGTGACTTTAAAATTTACTTCGATTCGCAAGTATCTAAAATCAGCTAGAGAATGCCGCCTCCAGTTGGAGGCAGTGAATTCCCAGTTTATGTAATGGCGCCAGTTCTGATGTTTTCCTGGCATGTAAAATATCAAAATCGTAAAAAAAGCCAGGAAAACGTCAGATTTTTTATGGTACAGCCAAGGATTAGTATAATATTAAGACTATAATATGTGTAGGAGATATTTTTCTTTTTTAGTATTTGTTTAAAAAGAAAACAAAATAAACAATCAATGGGACTTAAGTTAGTATTATTTATTCACAATCTCAAGCAATGCCTCTTGGCCATTGGGATAGTTAGAAGAAATTTGTTCTATATGCATGATATGGATTAGTGATTGGGAAGGGCTTGTGCCATAGTTGCATTGAAGTGAAAAAATGGCGCATTAAATCAATTAATCATGGCGCCAAGGTGCACATTCAATTCTTAGCCATGTTATTTGGAAATATTTTGCGTACGATTTTTTTCCTTGTTTTACTTTTGTTTTAAATGCCATCAATTTAAAACAACAAATCTCATTGGTTGAAACCTGTCAAAAAGTACTTTCGGTTAAACGAAGCGATACTTCATTCATTTGTATGGTAGGGCTGTTCCCTTTCCAAAACTGTCGTAATTTTAACACAAAAAACGGGTCATTTATATTCTAAGCAAGTTCCTTTAAATTTGCTGCATTTCATGTGTTAAAAAATCGGATTCGGTTAATTTAAAATGTGTTTTCTCTTGTACCGGTATTTCATATTTGTTTGTCACTTTGTTATTTCTTGAAATGGCCCTTCAGCTTATATTGATGGCTCATTCATTTTCAAAATGGCCCATCAAAAATGTTGGCAGTTGCGCCATAGTCCCATTGACCATTTTGGCCTTCCCAATCACTGGGATTACATATCTTGATATGATATACAAAGTTTACAATGTTTTTAATTCAGAAAAGCTGCATTTAAATATGCATTGTAAATCTAATATCTATATAAAAGTTGTTTAATTATAGTGTACCGGTATTTCAGATTTTCAGAAAATACAAGTCCAAAAATTTTAAATTAAAATTTGATTTAATTCATTCATAAGCACATGTGTATAGTAAGGCAGAATAGTGGTAAATAGTTTGATCAACATGAACAATTATTTGAAAAATTATACCACGTAAATGATGTTATATTTAGATGACTGATGTCCTAAAAATTATCATGGATATTTTCACAGCAGAAAGTAAAAATAAAGAATATATTGGCAGTCTAAAAAAAATCATGTTAATTCATATTCTACCTTTGGATTAAACAGAAATTTTGATTCAGTGAAAAGAGCATGTTTATAGTATTAAGGACAGACTAGTCTTTCACAAGAGAAATGAGAATTTTGTCTCAAACCAATCATTCAAATGAATATATATTTAAATGATTATACTTCACTTAGATCAAAACATTAAATAAAACATGATGAATTTGAAGTGCTCGAAATACAAAAAAGGTAAACAATATGTTCAAAACAATGTGCCTCAAAATCTAACATCTTTTATGAGTAACTATCACACTTTTTAACGCAAGTGTCTCAGGAAGTTATATTTTTAAGGTTTTAATTGTCTTACCACTATTTCCTATTGTAAGCACTTGTGATTAAAGATGATAGAAAGTAAATGCTGTGTTATTATAACATCTGTATATAACATTACTGTATTCCAAGTGCAAATATGCTGCAGAAATGTGTACTATCCTACAAAATATTTGGAATTTGATGCATTTGAGGCATTTTATTGATTCATAATTATTGTGGACTTGCTTATCCACACATATATCCTGTGTTAAATATGGGTAACGACCTATTATTTTACCGTACAAGGAAAGTTTGTTTGAGCGTTAGATTCTTTGAGTATCAGTTATTAGAGGTTACAGTCAAGCTAGCCAGTATCTCGTCTTTTGTATGCTTTACGCAATATGAAACCCTATCAGGAACTAGAGCTGATTCTTTTTCAGATGGTACTGTATTAAAGAGAAGTAATTTGTTCCTGTCATGACTGTTCAAACATAGGAATCAGTCAGAACTTTTACTTATATTGTACATAACTATGTAAATCCATATAGCTAATTCTCCCATTAATTGTTAATTGTGTTTATTTATGCCAAATGTCGACATAACTTCATGATGATGCTTTGCATAACATTTATTGTACGTATGTCCTTGATTGTTATAGATATATATCATGTATATTGAATGCTTTATGAATCACCTTTTATTTTGGGATTTCATGGTCAGAATAGCAGAAAGAAATTACTGTTTGAGAAATTATACAATGGAGAAATTATGTGCATGTCTGATAAATAAATATATTTTGTTAAAACAGAATGGCAGCTAAGATAGACAAGCATAAGAAGAAGGGCCGCTCATCAGAATGGTCCAAATCTGGGAGCTTCATGAACAAGCCAGATAGGGGCTGGATTCATCCGGACTTCCAGCTGGATAAAGAGGCAGGGATCTGTTATGGAGTCCGAGTAAGTGTGAAGTTTAGTGTAATGAATCCAGATCAGAATAAGTTAATGTGTTAATGTATCAAGTTGGAACATCAAAGAAATCTCTTAATTAAAGAGTTTGAAATACAGTGTTGTGTTCTGCCTTTGTATTGATAATGCTGCAATGATCTTTGGATTTGCAATAGAAAATAAAGTAATGAATGTATTTGAACAAGGATTCAGGGATTTGCCTTTTTGTCCTGGTAAGTTTAAAGTACTGGATTGTTTTGACCACATGATTGACCACCTGGACAAGGGGCAGAGGCCTGCTATTTAGTCCCAGTGTCCCACTGAGTTTGTTAATCAGAAAAAGAAAAAAAAATTGAATAGATAAAATCAAGAGAGGAAGTAATACTGTAGATTACTAATTATACGTGAGGAATTAATTTCCACTTAATTTCGCGAGAAGCATCACTCGCAAAATAATATTACTCATTTTTATTTTTAGGGTGCTAAAATTCATCTAAATTCTATTGATCAATTGTCCATTTGTGAATTATTATTCTCGCGATTTGACGTGAAAGAGCCAGTACACGATAATAAGTACTCGCGAAAAATAAGGAATCTACAGTACTTGTATAATTGTAAGTTGTAATGCATATATTTCCATACAATAGCAAGACTTCTATTTTGAAAGAATGAAAAGTCTTTGATATTTTGTCTATAAAGCTAAACATTAAACAGGCATATATATGTATAGGAAGCATACACTTTAAATGTTCTGGCAAGCTAATGGACAGATCTTGTTTTAAAGGCACTCCTCATCACAATTACCATAGCATAGAAATTATCTACTGAACTAATAAATTTTGTATGCAGTTTTCTTTTGATAAGCTATCCTCTTTGTATAGATACTAGTACATGTACCAGCAGGGATAGGAATGATAAAAAGCAATATCTCTCTGATATTTGACACTCTTTTGTATTCAGTAGTATTACAGAGAAGTTATCTGTGTTATAATCAAATGTAATCAAATGATAATGCAAACAAACACACTGGTATTTATATCACAATCGTGATTCAATCTTCTAGGAAGTAAAATCCTATGTCAACATTTCCTAGGCCACTCTATTGATACTAAAAATAAGTGAATGAATTTGTGGCGAAAAGTTTTTAAAAGCATGATCCACACATTTTTTAAATTGACCTTTTGTTAAAAAGAAATTCAAAAGTATGACTAGACCGTGTATGACTAATACTTTTATAGTACATGTTAAATGTATTGAAAATTTAGCACGTTAAGTATGTTGTACATGGTTATTGAGGGAAAGGATTGACATGATTGCTATCATCTTCGTAACGTGAGCATGTCACAGGGCTCTTAGTAACATTGCAAGTCAGGAAGAAGTTAAGCATGTCAGATGGCTCGCATTCTGCAATCTGCATGTTCTGATATAATAAATAAATAAAAATGACAAATTCACTCATATATTAGGTTTGAACTTTTTGAAAGCAGTGCTTTAAACAAATAAAAATCGCACCTAAGCTTCCTCAGACTTTTTAATTTGTAATAAATTAAAATGTGTTTTAAAGAAAATTTCCATTGAGACATGATGACACAAACTAGCATGTTATATCTACAAGGATTTATAATCTTTTTTAGGAGTATAACTATTTTTAGCACCAACTAACCAAGTCCTTGCCCATTGCTGCAGATGAATTACCTGGGGATTTAAGTGTTGAATCTAACAAATATTGTCTGAAAACTAGCTATGAATATTTCATTGGGATGTACGCGCATGATGAAATATAGTGAACAATTATCTCAGTATGGGCATAATTAATGAATCATATTTTCATCTCGAGCTATAAAATCCACATGCTCTATAGGTATCATCTCACATGGTAATTTTTTTCTGTTCTTTAACAGAAAACTGAAATATATATGCTGTGAAATCACTAATTTTTGTGGGGGGTTAATTTTCGTTGTTTTCAAGGTATGAAAAGACCCACAAATTTATGGCAACCACAAAATACAATTTTTCAAATATATTTCTATTGAACAATTCTTTAACCACAAAATCAAACCCCCATGAACCAATATATTTTCATATAACCATGAAAATTTGACCTGTCAAAAATAATTATTATGTGATTTTAAAGTAAACAGATACAATTCACAAAAATGTTAAAATAAGTCAGTCTGACCAAATCATTATTATCATTACCTACATGTGAAAATTCTGTACATGACATTTAGCTGTTCAGAATTTCAATATAAACATTGACACTGGCGGATTTAAGGGGGGGGGGGGCGTGGCGGGCGCACGCCCCCCCTAAAATTTTCAAAGTATGATGTGACTAATATTTATAAAGCCACATTTTGGTACAAAACTAACCAAATAAATGTTACTCTGCCTGGTTTTATTTTTAAAATACACAAAAATCCAGGAGCTTCCGGGGGCTGCGCCCCCTGGGCCCCCACTATTCAAAGTATGACATGACTAGTATTAAACACGTCGTACTTTGGTACATCACTAACCAATACCACTATTAGTAAGTAATAAGTAAGTAAATCGTTTATTATATAGTGGCATGTGTTACAATACAATGAGAATTGAGAAACATTCAATACATTTATTATTTAAACATCCGGACCTATATGCTATTTACTTTTACCAAAAATAATTGAAAAATATGCACTATTATTGTGCCTGGTTTTACTCTAAAATACACTAAAACCCAGGAGCTTCCGGGGGCTTTGCCCCCTGGGCCCCCACCTATATGCTATATACTTTTAACAAAAATAAATTGAAAAATATGCACTGGTTAATATGTGCCTGGTTTTACTCCAAAATACACGAAAACCCAGAAGCTTCCGGGGGCCTCGCCCCCTGGGCCACCACATATATGCTATATACTTTTACCAAAAATAATTGAAAAATATGCACTATTATTGTGCCTGATTTTACTCTGAAATACACGAAAACCCAGGAGCTTCCGGGGGCTTCGCCCCCTGGGCCCCCACCAGGGCTTCGCCCTGGACACACTGGGGGCCTTAAGGCGGCCCCCAGACCTCTTGCCTCAACAAAGTTATCCACACCCCCCCTAACCACAAATCCTGTATCCGCCCCAGATTGAAATAATTTATAATTTTTATTTCAGTATATTGGTTGTATTGAAGTCAAAGAATCCATGAGATCTTTAGATTTTGAAACAAGAACAGCCCTTGCCAGGTAAATATCAATTTATTTTTGTGTATTACATACATGTACGTGACAATTACATAATTAACGGTATACACATCAAATGTGAACAAGAATTTATATACATATATGTAATATTTAATTTATGGTAACACACGAGATATTATAAAAACTCTGGAATTATATTACTGCAGGATTGTTTAAATTTAAAATAAAATAAATCTTGAACATGTTGAAAATGATAAATTCCACAAATTGAAAATATATTTCTGTTTTTAGGGAGGCAATTAACAGAGTGTGTGAGGCAGCTGGTCTGAAAACAGCGAAAAAGAGAAAGGTATATAAATACTGACACTCTCAGATCAGCTGAAAGATAAAATGTGGAATGCAGTGGCCTATTGGCCATTATTGTACCATTTATATGCCGATGTGTACGATATATAAACTCAGTTTACTTAATATATAAGACATGACCTGCTTTGGCCCAAAGCATTGAATGAGAAAAGAAGTGCTTTTCTAAAGAAAGTTTAACATATAATTAATTTTTTATTTGATATCTATTGAAAATGTATAAAATTGTATCTGAGCTATTATTCTTTTCAACATGATCCTTCCTTATTCAGTGTACATATATATTGTAGTAGATATAAAACTCTTTTTGATAAATTTTTCTAAATTTTGACAAGGAACTATTTTGCTTTTACATATAACTAGCATCAGGAATTTGCTTCCTATATGCCTATTGTGTGTTTTTTGTAGGTTGATAAAAAGTTGACAAAGATGTTGGGTGAGAAGCCTATTCTACAGTACGCTGGGTCTAATGTCAACCTGACAATATCTACTGAGTGTCTCAACCTCATGATCATGGAATCAGGAGAGGTATAATTATATTGAAGTGACCCCCCTCCCATCCAACCCCCACCTTAAGCAACATCATTGACATTGAATTTAACAAACATGTGGAATCTTAAAAAAGTATTATAATAAAATTGTAATCAATGATTTGATATAAAAAAAACCCCCCAAAATACTACATTATGCATTTAGGCAGATAAGAGCTATTTCGAATTTCAAGGTCAAATTTTGATTAAAGGGGTGGGGGGGGGTCATGAGGGACAGGTCTTAAACTTAAGCCTGGAATTGTCCTTGGCAGCTGTTCATGCAATAATTGTATGTAGAATGTAATATATATTTTTTTCTCTTGTTTGAAGTGGATAGTCAGACAGTTTCTTTTAAATGTTAAAATAAATTGAAATTTCATCAAGGTGATTTTTTCAAAAGCTCAAAATAGTGTTAATACTGTATTAGTTTAAAAAAAATGTTAATGACTGTCATAATCATTCATTCAAAATTAATTCCTGTTACAATATGTATCTAAGTACTGGCATGTTTTTTTAATTTTTTTATTTTACAGATAATTGCCACTCATCAGATGCCCGGGATATCATTTGCCTCAGGAGGGGATGCAGTGAGTAGATAGGAATTAGTGAAATGGGGGGATAACTCATTGCTTATAAGCTCGTCACACGGTCACACTGATTAATTTACAAACCATTAATAAAGTATCTTTTATAAGTTAAAAGGACATGACATACATGTAGAAGGCTTAATTACATTATTAATGGGTTAATTCAGAATCATGTAGAAGGCTTAATTACATGATTGTACATTTGAGCTAACTGAGATACCCTCAGTTTGGTGTGAAAGGAAAAGTGCTTGATCATGTTGATAAATTAAACTTTTTTATGTAATTTTCTATTTAATGTTGTCAATAATTCTGTACACTATAAGGAACTACTGCACATTACTAGTTCTCTCTGTGTGGAAATTGACAATCTTATTACATGTTATTTGCAGGAAACCCTCGACTTTGTGTCCTATGTAGCTAAGGATTTGGTAAATGGCCGTGCCTGTCACGTGTTGGAGTGTGGAGGCGGGCTGTCAGAAGATGTCATCACAACTATTGGACAATCATTTGAACTGAGATTCAAGGAGTACCTGAAAAATCAACCCAAAGCCATGGAGATTCCTGACAGGTAACCACAGTTAGAAAGTACTTCTCTAATTAAGGAGTATTCTAATTAATGGTCCTCTCTTTTAACATCTGTGCAGTGATACTGGATTATGATTATGTCTCATGATAATTTATGAAAGATGATGCAAATAATTTCAGAAATTTTTAAGACAAGTTATTTCAAATGAAAGTTTTTGATCTTTTTATTTAAAGAAATGCAGGTTTATTCAGTGAGAGTGAATTGTTTGGAGAAAGTTGCCATTATGCAGCTATTGCTGATGATGTAAGGTTGCATTGTCACGGTTATATATGCTACTTCAAGAGCACTTGCTTTTAAGCACCTGGAATATTCTATTTTCAAATTGAAATTCCAATTGAATTCTGAAAACAGATAAAATCTATATTTAATAAATATTAATGAAACTTCCAACACTTCTCAATATGTAGAATATTATTAAATGGAGACCTATAATTCATCACAAAAGATATGATGTTTCATTAATATAGCCTAGGTAAACATGCCAACACCTAGAATCTATAGATAATGTGAATTGGCAAGTTTAAAAACTATCAATGTATATTCATTTACAGATATTCTTTCAATTTTTTTTTTATTAGAGATTAAACTTCACAAAAACTTCAATATAACCCTGTTACAGTATACATGTATGATATAATACATGTACATATTTTCAAGCAGTTAACCTGATTTTTGATAAGAAAAAAATACTGAAGCAAAAATGTGGCCATAAAAAAAGTAAGCTAAAAGTCTCACGCATAGTCCATGCTTACAATACAACCTACAGATTTTTGGCAGTACCTGTAAATGCCCCTGTTGTTTATACACTAGGTCTGAGGGTCCTCTGGCTGAATCGGATGCCTGGGGAGATGATGAGACAGAGAACGAGTATTATAACGACCGTCCTGATGCACGCGCACCCTCACCTCCCATCTCTAAAGCACCACTGGCTGAATACGCCACTCCCCCCTCAAACCTCCCCGTAAGTTTGCTTATTTTGTTCACAGGAACTTATGCTGTGTTGAAGCTTTCATGGGATTCCAAGTTGAACTTGTTCTTAAGAATCTGATTTTCTAAAAGTAAATTGTCTTTCTCATGAGAGAAAAATATTTTGACAATTTGATTGCAGCAAAATAAAAAAAAAAATAAAAGATTTTGTATTTATAAGTAAATTAAAAAAATATTTTAAGAAAATTCTTTTTATTATAATTCATTCATTATGAGTATGAATTTAACATTAAAGTTGTGTGTAAAGTATGGCCTTATCATTGCAGTCATGAGAATAGCTCTACAAATGTAGTTATATTTAGTATGGCCCTTCATATAACCTTGCTCTATTGCTGTGAGTATGTCTCTGAGATGTATTTAATACATTACAGGTCAGTGATGGAGTATACTCCTCTGTGAAGGACAAACCCTCTGTGTACGACACTCCAAAGGAACAGCCTCTCATTGATCTGTCTGACAACGGGGCCATTGTGTACGATAATAAAGGTAAGCGTAGGACATGTAGGTCAGTGCTATTGAACAAATAACTTGTTCACATAGAAACTACCTTAAAATATCTAGGATCCTCACCCACTTCACCCCTCGTTTTCAAAAGAAATTAAACTGCAAAATGTTACCTAGAGACCGAAATACATGTACATACATGTATAACTATGTTAGGTCAGTAGATGTGACAGTGCAGAATCTACAAAATGCCTTACGAGGTAGAATTCATATTTTCTGTAAGTTTTAAATCTCTATGCTATATGCTATATGCTCTTTGTCTTGTAGAAAATTCCACTTCTCCAGAATTCAAACCCAATATGTATGATAACAAGGAGAATGTTCTATCCGAGCCCTCTGTGAGGAGTCCCCCCTCTCCCAGCATTCCGGACAATATACCAGATGTCCCTCCCCCCAGGATCAGGGAACCAGTTAAGCCGGTAGAGGATCCATTTGACTTGGGTAAGTTTGTTTTGCAAACATATTCTTGAGTTAAGCAATTAAATTTTTATGCACCAACAAGAAAAAATTTACAATATGGTAAAATTACTTAACCATTCCATAGATCCTTTACAGGGTATACTCAGGTGAACATTAAAGTCCTTGAAGCTTCTTGTCATAAAATATTTACATACTATGCATATTTCTGTGTGTTTATAATGTACAGCTATACAGGACATAATACGTGTTGAAAATGGCTACTTTTATGAACATTTTACTTTCTTAGAACCCTTCAGTGCTGAATTGCCTCCACCAAGAAACAAATCCCAACAAAATGGTGTCCACGAAAAACCCATCGAAGACAAAGCGGTCTGTGACACCCTCCCACCCTTAAAAGAAAATCCCCTGCCTACCAATCTGAAGAGCATCTCCCCAATGTTTGAGGAATGGTATCATGGAGCCTTACCCAGGAAACAGGCAGAGAAGCTTCTACAAAAGGATGGAGACTTCCTAGTCAGAAAGAGTTCATCTGACCCCAATCAGTTTGTACTGAGTGGTAGACAGAATGGCATGATCAAACATTTATTGTTGGTGGATCCAGATGGAGTGGTGAGAAATTTTACTTTATTTGTTTACAAATGTAGATTTCAGAATCTGTTCTGTAGTTTTAATTTAATCATTCTATTTTTTTTTTGTGTATACTCAAATATTATTGTGGCCTCTTGTTTCATTTTAGTATCAATATACAAATAATTTTTTACAGGTCAGAACCAAGGATCATACATTTGAGAGTGTGCCTCATCTCATTTCTTATCACAGGAGTAAAAACTTTCCCATCATCTCTCAGGAGAGTGTGCTATATTTGGTTCGACCAATCAGCAACAATTACACAAACTGCTGACCAATGAATACCCTGAAGACAAAGCCATTCAAAAACAATCAAATGGACCAGTGTCAAAGTTTTACAGAAATATATAGGAAAATTCTGAATGACAAAGCCATAATTCATCATACAGTTAAAAACCGCCACCTTTCGTAATTTAGAAATCACGACACAAATGTCTTATTTACAACAATTCACTTTTGTTAGCCCTGTCTTATTTGATAAATAAGACAATTTATTAAGCTTTCTGGTAAATTAAAGTGAAATTATTAGAGAGTACAAATATACATTTTTGATGCATGCATATACATTAATATGTAGTATTTTTGGGTGCGATGGAAGCCAGGGGAAAGAGGGGAGGGGTAAGATTTGTAGCATAATAAAGCACTATAATGAAATCATGATATACTGGTACTGTAAAAATAGTCATGTAAATTTCATTACCACAGTACTATATTAGCTTTCTGGAATTGCTTCAAAATTGTACGAAGTACCACTGCAGAGATCAAAATAAGGCAGAATTTGAAAATTATGAATGTAATCAGCTTTTATGAATTTTATTTCTCATTTCTTGACCATGATGTATTTGTGTCATGGAAAGAAATAAATGAAGGTCAATTATTTTAAGCAGTGAAAGAAAAATATAAATATGGATTAAGAAAGGCCTTATTTGTGTTTTATGAAATATTAATTCTAAGTGGGATTTTTGTCTTTGAAACGTAAACATGTATGGATAATATAATATGAAGACAGGGAAGTGTAGACATACTGGCAAATTAAATGTTATCAGAGTGTAACCAACAACCAATTAATTTCACATATGGCAGAATTGAAAAGCTTTCAGTTGATGTTGGAGCTTTAATACTAATATATACATGTAACTTCTACAAACTTTTGTTACTACATGTATCATAACGCTGTAATTTGTGTGAATTACTACATCCATTGGGTGATAGATATTTGATTATTTTTATGTCCATATTACTTGGTTTTCATTTAATGTCATTATGCTATGAGTTTTGATTGTGTGCATATAGCTAGATAGGAATCAAGTGTAATTAATTAACAATTTGAAATTCCTGAGGAATATGCATGTAATGCTATTTTTGATGAATGTAAATGTAATGCAATGTCTTACTTCATGTTCTATAGAACAAAGCAAGATATGGTTTATTTTGTTACATATTTTGTGTTTGTATAGTTTATATAAGGGCTGGTACCAACTGCAATTTTTCAAGAAAAAAAAAATCAATTTTATTTTATTGCATCAGAAATCAAACAGCATTAAAGACTATAATCATGTTTTCGATAATTTATGTATTGAAATTATTGCTCATGTACATGTAGATTTTTTTTTGTCGGAATTTCAGTGTATGCAAGGATGCACTTTGATCCTAATGCTTTCTGCTTTTTAAGTTATTCTTGTCTGTAGTGTGCTTGTCATGTCATCTTCAGTTCGACTGTTTTATTTCTGTGATAATTGTTATTTTGTAAACTTATTTGTATACTCAGTGCTTTTAATTTTCACACCTCCTTTTAACTATGAAGCTTTGTTTAATTTTTATTTTGTTAAAACATCAGAGTCTGATGGATATTTTTGTTTTGTTTTGATTAATACGATTTACATGTAAGTCTACAATGTGCGTGTACATGTAAATCTGATTTAGGTCTGTGAAAAGTTTCCTAAAAATGTGTACATGTATCTTTGAAAGACTTTGACAGAATTAAACTAATTTGTGTTCTTCATTATATCTAGGAAATCAAAACATTGAAAGAATTCAGCTGGTTCATGTTCATCATTGTATCTGGAAAATTAAACTTCATGTTCATAAATCACTTTAATTATCCCTTAGTCTAATTTTCCAGGGTATTGATGGTTTTCACATTTGTATAGTATTTTGATCCCATAGATTATAAGTATTACATGTTAAACTCAATGGTTAAAACTTATCTTCTCAATTATGGTAAAAGATCTAGCCTATATTTTTTTCTACAAGTTTTGCCCCTTGTATTGGATACATACATTTATCCATTTATTTTTTGACCACAAGTTTATGAGTCACAAAAAAAGCTTACTTGCAAAATCATGAACAAAAAATTTGTTTTGTAAAAAACGTTTAAATTAAATGTAAAGTGCATGTGTCGTACAAATACCTAACTTTTATCTGGTTGTGATCTACTAGTCATTTGCATTTATAACCTGATACTAATTAATGTCTTCTCATAGGAAGTAATTTATATTCATTCTTTTATACCTTCAATTTCTTCTCAATTTGAATCAAATTTTGTTTATCATTTAAGCTTAGAAGACTTCAATATTCCCAACAGTAGATTTGCCGAGTGTCTTCCATCTTTTAGTAAGACTAATCTTGCCCACCAGTAATTTTACGTCCATAGAGGATGATAAAGTACATGTATTTGCAATGTGATTTGATTGCATGTGATGAATATATTAGATATAATTATTAAGATTAAAACTATGTGTAAAATTAACAGCTGAGAAGAATTTTCTTTTTGTAGTTGGTACAAATTGAATATTTGACATTTGACCCTGAAATCATATACCATGATCATATTCAAGAAGAAAATATACTCTTGTCAATATTTACTCGTGAGGTGGTGGACATTTTGCCATAAAATCTTTATGACCTTTTCAGCAAATGAAAGAATGTTGCAAAATTATGTGCAAATAGTTATTTTCTTAAAGTAATATGTTAGTTTCTTGATTTTTTGTCAATATTAATGTCTAATGGACAATGATTGAAAACATTTTTACTAGACCATTTCTTGTACAGGTTTAAAATGTCTGTGTTTAACCTCAATATACTCATTGTGATCATTTCATTTTATTACATACATGTATATAAACACAGATGTACAAGGTAACAACAAGTTTATTTTCATCATTTATATTGTGAATTTTGGGAAGATGAACTAACTGGATTAAAATGGAACATCAATATAATAGTGTGTGTGAGAATGCAAGACTGTTAACTTTTTAATTTGGAAAAACAGTCACAAGAAGATATAACTTTAATTTCATTCTTTAATGTTTTTATTTACATTTTTCATGTGCAAGTATGTGATATAAAAAAGATGCAAAAATTACAGTAGTGTTTGTTTTTTGTTTAAACCACATAAATATGGTTATTTGTTCCCACTATAAATGTTCTTTTTGATGTAGAAACAGCATGTATAGTATTTCAGATATGAATTACTGGGTACATGTAGGTGACTGTCTATAATGGACTCTAATCCTAGTTTCCACCTCATCCAATTTCGTTGTGTCACACCCAATTTTTCAACTGAAACCCGATTATTTTATATGATGCCGTGGGTCATGCTTTTCTCTCGATTTTTACCAAACAACCCGAAAATCTCCTGGCCTGGAGACCTTAAACTGAGAACACACTTAAATCAAAATTTTGATTTTGAATAGCTTGTCATTTATAATACATGTAAGACATATGTTACCAAGAGTCTGTAGTTTTGTAGAATATTCCGGTTTAAGGGGGCCGACTATAGTTTCCATTGCGCAATATTTCGCGCATCTTAGTAAAATGAAGCGTATTTACTGTTTTAATGCAACTTTTTTCGCTTAATTAATACAAGTAAACAAAATTAAGAAATTATAGGTATAAAAATGTAATTACAATTTGATATAACTGATTTTTTAACCGATTTTGCAATTGATAGGTAGGTTGACGTCGTTGCAGTGTGTTTTTGACGTTATGATAATCTGTAGCTCTTAAAGAAAGCGGTAATAAAAATATTATTAAAGAAAAAGTAATAAACAGACGCTCTTGAAATTTAAAAAATAGAAATTTGAGAATATCTTCAATATTTTTTTTATGTTTTCATGTGAATCCATTGTGTACGTCATGTTTAGTAATACTCTATAAAAATAGTAAATTTTGCTAATTTTTTTCATTTTGAGATTTTAGAATTTTGTGTTTCTTACATATATTGTATAATATAGTATTATTCATCAAATACTATAGTTTGAACAAAATGTCTATTGTAGTATTTGTATAATTTGCTTTCAAGTGCTAAAAATTGGTATTTTCCTATATAATCCTATAGTAAATGTACCTGTATTTTGAGACGGTCCCTCAAAAATACCTGGATGGTAGATTTTCGCCAAACTTTGCATGTACACTAAAGTTAATGTAAGTTATATATGGTATAAAAATGAAGAGTTTCGCTATTGTAGTTTTCACACAAAAAAACTATAGTTGGCCCCCTTAAACATGGTAAAAATGTTGTTTTCTTATCAGAAGTATTTTTAAAGTTACCAGGTATATTAATTTGAATTTTTGACTTAAGTCTGTTCTCAGTATATGATTTTGATTTCCAGTCTCTAATTGTCTTCTGTAATACATTTGTATTGCAAAACTCAGAAATGTGAAGTCAAGATCATTAAGGTCAAGGTCCTAGGATCAAGATTTTTATACTAGTAATATACATGTATTTATGGTGATTATTCCCAATACGCAGCAATAAATAAACTAGGTAATTTAGTTATGTAGAAGTTTATAGTCAGACTCTGTCCAAAATAGCTTACCCAGTAATATGAGAAATGATGATGATATTGAGAAAATAGAAATGGTAATTCATTTGGAAAACTACAATTTAATCCTCTTTCCTAAGGGAGATTCTGAGCAAAGACTGATTGAAATTTGCCCCTTGGTTCAGCAGAATTTAGAGAAAGACATGAAACCATAAGAAACAATATTTTTAAAAGGGGCTCTCGTCTCCACGCAAATGCTATTTTTGAGTTACTTTGTCTATTAATACCTTAATTATGCCCCTCTTTGAAGATGGGGGTAAGGGGGGGGGGGAGGAAGCATATTGCTTTGCTGCTGTCTGCTGGACTGTCTATCCACCAACAGTTTCAGTTCATTTTCTTTGCAGATGTTGCACATACTGAAATAATTTGGTATACAGATTATCTTCAGAATATCTAGGTCAGCTTCTAATTTGGGTAAGATAAAGCAACTTTTGACAGAGTAATGCCCCTTGTACTAAGAAAAATTCCATTTTTTTTGCAAATTTGACAGAGTTATGCCCCTTGGACATAAAAAAAAATCTTCTTAGTTTACATTTGTGCAGTAAAATTGATATTAAATCATTTAGTTCCTTTGAGAAATGAAAATAAAACAGTGCAGCAGTCATTTTTATTAAAACACAACAGTTTTTGGTCCACTTTTCTTTTTTACTGGAGGCGTTGGCTTGATTTCTTCCAGGTCTATCTCAGCATCCACACTAGTATGTGCCCCTCCTATGGTTGGCAGGCAGTAACTTTTAACTCCTTATTAAAGTAAAATTAATTAAACAGGGATTAAATTAAAAAAAATTAAACAAATTAAAGTACCATTTGATGGGGGAAAATTTTCAAATATAAAGTACTCTTGAAGACTACTTTTATATAACAGATAAATTCTACCTTGTTGGTTTTGAAGCTCTGGACAGTCTCTCTGATAATGCTCTACAGATTCACAGATTTTACAACATCCACCTTAATTTAAAAAAAAAAATCCTTATAAATAAAACAAAATTGAGGTGAATTTGATTTACTGGATAGCGGTACCAATAAAGACTGTGTTATTTATGCACTACCATTGAGTAGTACATCTTACCCATGGGATAGAGTCCTTTTGGGTTATCAGGACACTGCTTTGATAAGTGGCCAGTTTCCCCACAAATAAAACACTTGGCATAGGGAAATTTGCCTGCAAAATAAAAATAAATAAAAACTAGAAACAATGCACATCACATGTACTTCCCATTTCTATCTCAACTTCTATTTCATTCTTCTGGAAAGAATGAAATTAAATCCCAAAGTACAAACAGATGATGATCTATTTAAAAGATCATGTAAATTATAATTATTGAATTTATTTATAAAATATAGTAATGTGTTCAGGCAAATTAGATTTTACTATCATGCAATTTTAATTTTCATCCCTGCAAAATTTTTTCCAAAGCTAGGACAGATACCAGAGGCATAGCATGAAATCATCACAACCTAAGAGTTCCACTATGTCCTGATGAATAATAACAGGATGAGCAAACTTTGTACATTCAGCTTTTTGTATACTCATTCAAATTATTACCTGGTGGTAATCTGACAGAGCAACTTGAAGAAGAGTGTTCTGTTGATCCACATTTAAAACAGATTCCAGTTCCCTGCTCCATGTCTCTTTTTACCTCCGGACAATCGGACATCTGGTGACCTGATTCTCGACAATTGTAACATACCTAAAGAGAGCATCAAAACATGTACAATGGTTTGTATATATCACAGGTCAAAATTTCTATTCAAAATGACTACAATCATTGCTACTTGATTTAAAAGTGACATACTGTTTCATCTTGTCTTTTCTGGATTCTGTGCAACCTTCTGTTTTCACTTCTTTTGACTTTCTTGTAAGCTTCCTTGAGTTGAAGATCTTGCGTTGTCACTTGTGATAGATTCCTAAGACGAGACTCTAAACTGGTTTGTTGAAGTGTTGAATCCTCTTCTTTAATACTGCTCAATGAATGAGTCTGCTTCTTTTTCTTTGATTTGCCTTTCCCTGTTTTATGATCTTGATCATCATGTTTTGACTTCATTGATTTGTCAGGCTTACTTGCGTTACCTAGATCATTTAGATCTACCTTCTTCTTCTTGTCCTTCTTATGTTTCTTCCTGCTCTCTTTCATATCATTCCATTCTGTGGCATCCAATGGTCTTTTTCTGTTTCCATCTGATGCACGAGCAAATCGGGTCATTTTTTACCTGCCAAAAATCTCATTTTGTCAGCATTCACTTCCCACGTGTCATATAATTATGAAATAAATGTATTGTAAAGAATTTATAACAAATCTCTACTTTCATAGATGACGGTTTTAAGTCTGACCAGAGACGTAAATATCATGTCATTTATGTCTGTTCTAATTATATCGATATACAAAATTACATACAGATCAATAAAATATCGATTCCTGTAGATTTTGACTGATAAAAGTCTTTATCTATATTTGATTCTAAAGTCTTACTATGATTTGATAAATCAGACAATATATCTAAAATAACCTTAAAACTCACAGAAAACCTTTTTCTTGTTTCTCGTGTACACCAATTTCATGTAGGAAAAGGATTATCGAAGACTAAAATTAAAACCCATGTCGAAAAACCCTTGTTTTTCCGGATTCTGACACGACACACATAAATTTTAAAAATCAAGATTTTACCTCCGTTCTTTGTTTATATTGTAGATGTTTCTCTTCAAATACAATTTAACTGTGTTTAATACTATTAAATCAATTTTTTTAACAATTTGAGAGAACCTGGGGTATTTAAAACAAATTATTGGGAGGGTGTACTTTGGCAAATGGCAGATATACGAGGTTAGTGTTTATGTATTATAAGTCCAATAAATGCAATGGTATATTCAAAAGCCCCCCTCCAAAAAAATCAATCAAGGTTTGTGTAGCAAGTAAAAAACCACATGATATGTCTCTGAAAAACAAATCAAACAAGAGATGGTTGTAAAATAACTCCCCCCCCCCCCCAACATTGGAATTTTTCTAAGTCCAAAAGGGCATAACTCTGTCTAAAATGGCACGATCGTACCTCAAACAGAAATTGACCTAGATATTTATCTGAAAAATCTGTATACTAAATTTCACTTCAGTATGTTCAACCTCTCCGTGTAGAAAATGAACGGAAACTGCAAATAATTGGAATTTTTTCTAAGTCTAAGGGACATAACTCTGTCAAAAATGGTGCGATCGTACCCAAAACAGAACTTATCATAGATATTCATCTGATTTACATGTATACCAAATTTCATATCAGTATGTGCAACCGTTGTGAAGAAAATGAACGGAAACTAAATGGACCGACAGACAGCAGCAAAGCAATATGCCTCCCTTCTTTGAAGGGGGCATACATGTACATGTAGCCAAGTAATGTAAGCCTTGATCATGTTAAGTAAATTTAATTTGTAGAGAATCAAAATCCTGTTATCTTCTTCCAACATTTACCATCTGAAAGTAAAAAAAAAAAAAAAACACGAAAATTAACCCCCCACGAAAATAAGTGATTTCAGAGTATGAGGCGCCGTTTTGGTATTCACTGCTAAAAAGTGATATATTCTATTCAATAGGTGATATCACCTATTTGAATTTGTGATATCACTCATTCGAAAAGGTGATATCACTTATTCGAGTTGATATTCGAATAGGTGATATCACTTGTATAAATAAGTAATATCACATATATAAATAAGTGACATCACATATATAATAAATAGGTGTTATCACTGTTGGCTAGTAAATACCTAAACGGCGCCTCATAAAAATCATAGTCTGTTTCCTTGGCCTTCCTACAATGCTGTGCAAACGTGGGAATCCCAAGAAAACAGGCTAGCAAAATCTAGAAACTATCCCTGATAATAAATGGACCGGGAAATAACGGAAAAAATCCATCGTTAATTTAGTGTATAAATAATTGACTTACAATTAGTATGAAAAACTTCAGTCAGTATTTAACTCAATGATAAATTGTATTTACTGACAAGGTCATTGTATCGACCATATAACTTACGAAATGATTACTTTAAAAGAGACTGCTGATATTCTTGTTTCATCAACTTGTTTGTCAATAAAGAAATATAATAAATTTACTTCGTTTTAAAAACATTCTGATTGTACACACAAGTACTCTGAAGTTGACATCAAAAAGATGCTTGAGTTTCTGATTGACAATATATATGTCGTTTTTGGAGACCACGTCTTCCTACAATCTATTGGGATTCCCATGGGTACCGATTGCACCCCATTATTAGCAGACGTATTTTTGGATTCATATGAAGCAGAATTTGTTTAAAATCTTATGCATGAAAAGAAGAAAACACTTGCTGTGGCCTTCAACTCGACATACATGTATATCGACGACGTATCGACAATTAACAATGGCAATGTCTATTCTTATGTCGATACGATATATCCTGGTGAGCTTGAGATTAAAGATACCACAGAGTCTGCATGATACATTTGTTTCGTTTCGTATTTGGAAATTTTACTTGATAAAGACGTTAATGGTAAAAAACAACCAAGCTCTATGATAAACATGATGAGTTTAACTTTTCTATCATCAACTTCCCTCATTTATAATGCAGCAATATACCTTCATCACCTGCATACGGAGTTTATGTATCTCAATTGATTTGATACGCAAGAGAATCTCTACACATAAACAATTTCTAAAACGAGATAATTATTGACAAACAAGTTGATGAAACAAGAATTTCAGCTGTCTTGTTTAAAGTCATCATTTCGTAAGTTCTATGGTCGATGCTTACTCCTCCATGGCATGCATGCGCACCTGATCCCACCTCCAATTTTTCGAGGTCCATATTATATTTACTCTGCTCCTATTTTGTATTGTACGTATGATGGACTTTTCCCTTGAATACTAGACATTTACAGTGTGCAAATTTTAAAACAGTATTTAATTTATAAGGCATTTTATTTGCAAATAGGGCAATTTTACATTTTTCTTCATTCTTTTACATTTTTCTTGAGCAAAATACCCAAAATTCAAAAGAAGTAAAGAGCTTGCCTCATCCTTCAATTCTGAATTCATATTTATTTCCACAATAGGTATTTCAAAGATCTAGTACGTAGATACTCGTAAACTAGTAAAAAAAAAATTGGCTAGATAAGTTCTACTTGTCATTGTCAACAAATACTAGTAGGTAAAGATTAAAAAATGTTAACCTTAATGATTTTTTTTGATTGAAAACTGTCAAAGATTATCATAATTTGGTATGTTATGTTTATGACCACATTTTCTCGGGTGAATTTAGTATGCAATTCTGGGCAGAAGTTTGTTGACAAGTCATTTACCTCCACTGATTTAACATCTAAACCTTTGGTAGTCCTTTATCTAACAGCAAATTTTACTGATGCCATATCAAAGAATACATGAAGACAAAGTCTTTGGGAAAATTATAATTACATTATCATGTTTTAAAATTATCAAACATATGTTAATACATTCATCTTGGACAGAACAAGGAATATGACTACCTATATGTATGACCAATTTTTTGTGAATGTAGACTTGTATGAATTATGCTTAAAATGCTAGACTCTACCATGATATACAGTACAATAACATCACTGAAGATACTTGATTTTCTTCACTTGTATGTTTCTATACTGAGCAACAAACAGATTGTCATTTGTATCTATACACAGTCCATACGGATTTTTCAATGCGCATTCTATGTAACGGATGAACTGTCCATCCTGGTCTATGATGTGGATACAGTCATTGTAAATATCAGCTGTAAGGATGTGACTCTGACTGTCTGTGGTGATCCCTCGTGGACAGAAGGACTTGTTCTGTTCTCCAGTGTACACGAATCTCAGTATCCCGGCCTGATTGACCACCACTACTTCTCTAGCGTGACTATCAGACACACAGATATCCAGGTTCCTGTTCTCAGCTACGTATCTATAATAACCACTAGATGAATAGAGAGGTTTACCTTTATCATCAAACTGAATGGTTTGTTTCTCTGTGGAGCCAGAGTAACGGACAACTTTTGTTTGTTTGTTATCATCATCACTGTACATGATAACCAGGAGATCAAGAGAGGAGGTATTACAGACACCAAGAGGTATCCAATTCTGTAGTTTGATCATCTTCTCTGTCTTCTTATTCTTTACAATGTTCACAGATTTCTTATGATAATCAGTATAAACTAGATCTCCACTTTTTGTCACTGCTATGTCACATGGTATTTTCCCGGACTTGGCTGTTATTGACTTGAGTAGAGATCCTTGATTGATGCTGAAGAGTTTCATGGTGTTGTCATCTCCACTTGTCCAGATTTCTTCATCATTCAGACAGGCCACATTGTAAAGGTATCTATACCCAGTGTATATGGTGGTGACAGACTCAGGTTCTGGAAGTGAAAACTTCATACTGTAACAATAATCACCCGAGGTGAGAGAACTTGGTGTTACAGCTCCAATCATGTCATGAAGTTCTTTTTCTTGAACTTTTCCTGGCATGAATTTAGGTGTACAAGACACAATTTTTGGTGGAAGCTTTTTGTATTTGTCTAGACTTAATTTAACACTGAACAGTTTTGACAAGTCATTAGAGTCTTTAGTGGCATTAACTGCATCTATTTCATCCTCGATGTCAAATATTTTCTTATTTATCTCATCCAAATGTTTCTGTAGAGTTTGTAACTGTGTGTTTTTCATCTCATCAACTTCAGCTTTAAGTTTCTTGACAAGTTTGTCAATTTCTCTGTGCAAGTCCTCTCCATGTTTTGTTATGGCTGTTGAGAGATCCCCATATTCCTTTTCTAACTGACTCATTCTATTTTGTACATCAGAGGCAATGTCCTGGTAGGTTGGATATATTGTTTCTTTCAATTCGGTATGTGCTTTGATTATTTTGTTCTTTTTTTCATCCAGAATTTGCAAAATTGTTATAAATTTATGACCCAGGTGATGATCAGATGCAATGCAGGTGTTGCAAACAGAAATATCACATTGATAACAGTACATTTCACATCGTTCTTTGCTATGAGTTGTACATCTAGGGTAGAGGGGAGTGGATTTTCTAAGTTGAAATGGGACAATTTCATGTTTTTTGAATTGATCAGGCATCATGTGATCTCCCACACAGGCCATACACAGGTTGACTAGACATGTATCACAGTGCATCTGTACCACAGCGGTCTCACACAGGTCACATCGACTCACGTCCTGGGCACTGGTATGGGGGTCCATGATTAGATGATATGTCTATTAAATATACAAAAATCCCTGTGAATATTTATTGACAAATAAGATAGAATATAAAAAAGTATTACAAAAATGTATATCAGGCCTAAAATTAAAAGCTGAATATATCACGATGTATAAGGCTTTTTAACTCCTAAGATCAATTAATTTTTTCAATTTTTCAAACGATTAAGCATTAAGTTTTTTTTTAATGGGAATGGGAAACAACTTATATTTTTGAGTTGTGTTGAGTTTAATAATATGAATAGTGTAATTTGTCCTTATTTTGAAAAGCTAAAAGATAGCTGCGCAAATTCTGAAATAATTAAAAAAAGTTTATGACTGTGAAAACCATAAAATAAGTTAAAATGACCAACTTAAGGTACAGATGTATTCAATGTATATAAATGCATATAAACAGAAAAAAAGTCTTGATAAAGAAATGCTCACAAAAACAATGAAATTTCATTCTCAAGATGAAAGAATGTATTAAAAAAAACTGATTTACTATCATTTTGAAATATTACAAAATACACTCGTACATATTCGTAAGGAATATCCTACCTGATTTGTAGGAGACAATAATGCCGTCCGCCCAGCATACGACCTCTTTATCTTTACTCAGGTCCCCTGACCATATAGCCAGTTTAAATCTGTCAAGTGCTTTTTACTTCCTTGTATAAAATCTAGTTTTGTTTTTTTTATATATCAGCGTTCAGGAAGAATTAATTTCATTATTTAAGCACAAAACTCGCAACACTTAGAGAGAAAAAACAAGTATATACTGACAAAAAGTCAGAGATACTCAAGCTGTAGAAAATCAACTAAGAAAAGTCATTAATATCCTAAAATGGTATAATGTGGGCTATTGAGTTCAATCTTCTATTGAAATATATACATGTACATGAAACAAAATTCATATAATGAAGTTAATTAGAATGAATATATATATATATATATATATATATATATATATATATATATATATATAGATATATATATATATATATACGCTTTTTTAATATATATATACATTTTATATATAATCTAAATAGCTTGTTGCAAGTCGGAAGAAAAGTTTTTCAAAGTGGAGGGGGGGGGGGGGCTCAGGGCTCCAAAAAGCCTCGTAATTACCGGTATACGGGTACATCTAACTGTGCGGCATGTACAGTACATATTCCGTTCGAATCCAAAAGAAGTTATTTAGGTTCCGTTACCAAAGCTAAAGAAAGTACGATTTTTTAAAATAAAAAAAAACGTATGAGGGAGAAATTAACATTAATTTTGCGCAATTATTTTACTGTCACTCAAAGTGCACATCATTTTCAGGCCCGTTATAGGCAATTTCAGTTTGGGGGTACAGCCATACATTTTTTTGCTACGCATTGTAAAACTTTGACAGATAATAATGTATCTTAGTGTAGTCTACTTGTGAAGTTATGCCAAGTTATATTGAAATCAGACCAACACTGCGAGAAAATTTGTTAAGAGAAGGACGATTAGAAATGGGGTAACCTGCGTCACCTTTCAGAGTAACCAGTGGACTCGTCCAAGGATGCTTTGTCGGCGACTGTAAAAAGTACCAGATTCCTACGCAAATGAAAGCGCGAAATCTCTGTATAGAAACTGTTGCAAACGCTTCACTCATTGTTCATACGCTGTAGAATAGAATCCGACTTTTAACAACACTTAATAATTTTGAAGATACAGACGTTTTCAACATAAGCTTAATTTTTGTTTATAGAAATATGTTTATCTACAAATATAATATAATTTCGTGTTTTTAAACTGAGTAAATCGATGACCTGGCATCGTTTTAGATAACTCAAGCCCCTCTAGGGCTTGAGTAATTGAAACTTAATTAAAAATAATTAACACAATGGATATATTTGGTTATGCCAAGGACCTTTTGTCTAATTAAAGATTTTTCAATACAGATATATATTTATAACATTTGAAAATTTTGTTTCTTTTATTCAAGTGAAACTTATGTCATGTAGTTATTAAAATATAAAACAAAGTATGTATAGTAACACTTTGGACAGATAAATATAAAAGCAAATGAAAATCAAACTGCAAATCTTTATATTTGTTCAAAGTCCTTGAATAACATCAAATCAGGTACAGAAACACCTGCATATACATGAGAGATAGTCCAGAGTGCAATCAGAAATATAGACATGACTGTTGAAATAAATGGTAACATCATGGACATTTCAGAAGTAACATCAAGGAATATCCATAACAAGATAATACAACTGATTATTTACAAATTCAAGAAAACTTCTGAAATTGAGATAAGATTAATTTAAGCTTTATATGTTATATTCAGAGAGTATAATGGCACTGACGAATGCACAAAAAAAAACCCAAACAAAAACAGCGCCGTTATAGACAGGTAGGAGACAGTGACCCAGACAAAAGAGCAAAACACCTGACAAAATGCAAAACAAAGTACTACACAGACTTGGCGGTCGGGAAACGTAAACTGATCAAGGATATAACAACAAGGAAAAAAAGAAAACAACATGAGTGGAGAAAAATAAAAAAAAGATCAAAGAAAAAAGGAAAAATGGTAATACCCTGTACATTAGATGACACATATTTGAACCTGACAGGAGAAGATTATAAAGAAGCACAAACCTTTGAAACAGACAATGGCACCATGCAAATCAAAACCGTTAGAGGCAATGGCATTGAAGAGAATGGAATTGGTGACAAATCGACAGAAAAAGGTGAGATTTTCGATAAAACAAAAGACGAAACAACAGAACAAAGTGAACAAGAAATGTCAAAGACCAGTGAAAAAGGTGATAGGAACATAAGAAAGGAGAAAGTTGTAGACATAATCACAGAAGAAGTGTTAACGATCAGAGAAGAGGAAGCTTGACAAATGAGGAAAGCATAACAAATATAAATGAATTAGAAGATGTAATACAGGATAAATAAGTCATTGCAACTGTGGATGAGAAAAATATTCATGATTTTGTTCTAAACAATAACCAGAAACAAAGCGTTGGAGACAGTTACTAAGATGAAGATCAAAGTGTTGACAATGAAGTGAAACAAGGAGAGAAAGATGAGGAGATATTCGAAGCAAAAGATGAAAAAACAGAACAAAGTGAACAGGACTTGTCAAAGAGCATTAAAAAGGATAATATGAATGAGAAAGATGCGGAACATAATTCACCGAGAAAGCGCTAACGATCAAAGAAGAGGAGACTTTGGCAAATGAGAAATCAAATCAACTGAAACACATGAAGTACAGGATTGGTTAGACACAACAACTTTTCTCGATTTTGATCCAAATGATGCATTACTCTCAGATTTAGTTTATAAGTGCTTGTTAATTACGAGAACAAACCCTATATCTCGGCAAAATGATTGATTGTGGTGAAGAGGAAGTATATATCACCTACATGCACAGAGAAGGAAGAAATTTAAAAGCTTTCACGTTTTATTGGCCACTCGCAGTCAAAATTGAGTGCTGGTACAGCATGGACAAAATAGTTGAACTCATTCCGAACCTGTAGGTCAAAAGTATTATGTGGAAAAAAAATCTGTGGGAACGTGCTTTAAAAAAATTAAATGTAAAGAAAAAATAAATCAGAATTTATGTGAACTTTCTCTGTTGCGGAAGCCCATTTAGGACCTATCAAAAAATATTTTTGAATTCGTTATAACGATTTTTAGAATTCGTTATAACGAATTTAATTTGTTATAACAGATTTTTAAAACTCGTTATAACGAAATTAATTTGTTATAACAGATTTATTGAATTCGTTATAACGAATTTAATCTGTTATTACAGATTCATTGAATTCGTTATAACGAATTTAATCTGTTATTACAGATTTGTTGAATTCGTTATAACCAATTCAAGAATTTGGTTATAACGAATTCAACAAATCTGTAACGAATTCAATGAATCTGCAATAACAGATTAAATTCGTTATAACGAATTGAATGAATCTGTAATAACAAATTAAATTCGTTATAACGAATTCAATGAATCTGTTATAACAAATTAAATTCGTTCTATCGAATTCAATGAATCTGTTATAACAAATTAAATTCGAAAAATCGTTATGACGAATTTAAAAATATTTTTTGATAGGTCCTAAAAGCTTCCGTACACCTACGGAAGCCCATTTAGGACCTATCAAAAATATTCATTGAATTCGTTATAACGAATTTAATTTGTTATTACAGATTCATTGAATTCGTTATAACGAATTTAATCTGTTATTACAGATTTGTTGTATTCGTTATAACCAAATTCTTGAATTGGTTATAACGGATTCAACAAATCTGTAATAACAGATTAAATTCGTTATAAATCTTTAATAATAAATTAAATTCGTTATAACGAATTCAATGAATCTGTTATAACAAATTAAATTCGATATAACGAATTCAATGAATCTGTTATAACAAATGTGTATGTATAAGAAAGAAAATCTGTAATAACAAATTAAATTCGTTATAACGAATTCTAAAAATCGTTATAACGAATTCAAAAATATTTTTTGATAGGTCCTAAACTGGCTTCCGTACAACTTTAGTATTGTCTTGTAAAAATAATAATCGCTCGTGTGGCGCAGTGGTTAGAGTGCCTGCTCTAGAGTCGCGAAGTAAAAAGTTGATCCTTACGTCGCGAGTTCGAATCCGACTGTGAGACATAGAGACCAGGACTTATAAGACGAGACCGTATAAATCGAGGTCCCATGTCGCAGTAAGTGCTTGCACGAAAAAGATCCTTCACGGTTCAATGGCCGTAAATGTCGAATATAGGACGGAAATTCGCAGCTCTCGACTGGTGAGTGGTGATGTATCCATATGAATTAAACATGCCTCGAGGAAGACGTTAAATAACGGTAAACATACAAATAAACAAGAATTATAATTTGTTTATAATCTAGATACACCAAATGGTTGTGTTTATTGTACAATGAGACTTAAAATGATTTTTTAAATCATTCTGATTTTTGGTGACATTTTTATTTTGGTACAGTGATAGAGGAATAACATTCAAATAATGATTGTACTGAGTTTCTTTCTTAAACAAACCGTTGCACTGATTCGGAGTCAGAGATTCTTTAGCATCACTGGTGACAAGCAAAATAGTGAAAAACACTTTTCTTTTTAACTGAATTTGATATGGTTTCTCTGGATACTTTAATTTATATAATATGTTAGAGGTCTTTGATACAGCTAGCGACGTTCTATTAAAAAAACCAAAGTACTTTTAAAGAAATTAAGCACAGAACTAAAATACAAGGAAGATATTCAAATTTATTAAGGAAAACTTCAACCTTTCTGGTATTCAGATTTATTTTTAGCCGACACCATCAATAATTCAGACGCAAATTGCGTAGTTTATATAAGACTTGAAATACATGTATATATCAATCATTTAAAAAGTGCTCGGGAAATCCCTAGACAGATAACTATAAAATGTATTTACTAAAATTGATTTTCAATTATCATTTTCTTAATTTCATTTGTCCTTACGCAAAATGAGTGCTCTCCGATATTTTTTCACTATTGTAGCAGTTTTAATGATTTTATACGTGGCTTGTATCGATGGACGTGTCTGGCTTCCAAGTAAGTAATTTAATCTTTTAACAGGCAAACTAAATACATGAAGAAA